TGGCGCCGCGTCCGCCGGCGCGCCGGAAGTACGCAAGGGGTGGGGCCTATCGGGTGCTCAAGGGCTCTCTTCCCGAAGTGTCCCCGCCCCGGACCCGCCCCAAACACGCTCACTCTCGAGGCCCTGTCCCCGGCACGCCCACTCTCGAGGCCCCACCCCGACACGCCCCCTGGCACGCCCACTCTCGAGGCCCTGCCCTCCCGCGAGTCCCCGCCCCTTCCTCCCACGTGTGTGGATTACCTACCACATGCTATGCCGGATGCTAGGAGCTTTCACGCTCATTCCCTCATTCATTCCTCAGCCCGGTGCTACTGCCCCATTTTACAGGTGACGAAATCGAAAACCTCAGAGCCCTTGTTTCTTGGGCGGGTCTGAGCAGAGGACGGAGGGTCTGAGCAGAGGACGCCGACTCTGTCGTGGCCTGCGAGTTCTCCTGTATCTAATATAATCATCATTCTCCCTGTTCCACTTTCTCTTACCTACAGAAAAGCCCAAAGCCCTTCCGCATGGGTGGAGATAAGGAGAGGTTACTTACCCGCTGACGTGAAAATTCCAAGGTTTGGCTGACATGCCATCTGAGCATGAGAATCACTGCTTTTAATAAACGCAGAAGTTCTTTCTGAACACCATAATAACTGACGGTATAAAAGGCGGCAGTGCTTGCTTTTTGCAACTATCCCTTTCCATGTACTCTGCCCAAACCACCAGAATCCAGGGTTTGCTGTGTGCTAATTGTAGGGGCAGAGGGCGACATAAAGTCAACTTTACCTGTATACATTTTCTTTTTCTAGATTTTTGCAATAGGGTTTTTGTGATAGGGCATATGTGCTCACCAGAGAGAGACAGAGAGAGTAGTTTACTGATAGTGCAAAGGAGTATTCACTTTTAATCATAATTTTAAAATCTCATATTCTTTCCAAAAATGAATGTGGTTTGTACAATTAAGCGATTATAAAATCATACATAAGAAAGATTAGAGAGAATGAAACGAAAGAATCTTCTGCCTGTTGACCTGTCCATTTTCTGATGGAGGGTATTGCTGTCTTCAACTATGATAGTGGACTCCTCTATTTCTCTTTATAGTTCTATCCAATTTTGCGTCCTGTGTTTTGGCGCTCAGTTGTAGGTGCATACACTTTAATGATTGTTCATTTTTTTTGAAGAGTCAACTGTTTTGTTATTATGTAATCCCTCTATGAATCCCTAATCACTTTCTTTCCTTTCTGTTCTGTCTGAAACTAATATAATGACACTAGCTTTACTTTAACTTATGTTGGCATGGTGCATATCTCTAATCCTACTTTTCACTTTTTTTATCCTCTGTAAGGGTATGTGCACTCACCTTGTTGGAGACAGAGAGAGAAGGAAAGTGAGAAATCACTCCCCAGGGAGATGGCCACACCACAATCCCGTCTCCACTCTCTTCTTGGGAGCTTGGGATTTGGGGATTTGGGCATGCACAGATGTCCAGCATGTTTTTCAAGCCACCAGGTCTGGGACTCAAACCACCAAGTTGGCTATGTGGGATCCAGCACCTTAACCACCATGCCACCTGCCAGCCCCTCTCTAACTCTACTTTTAGTCTAAGTGTCTTTACATTTATAAATGGGTTTCTTGTAGACAATGGATAGTGGGTCTTTTCTCTTTTCTTGGATCCACTCAGACGATCTTATTAGTGTCTGTAGGTCATTGACATTTAAGGTGGTAATAGATATAGGTGGATTAATAGTTATGGTGTTTGTTATTGTTTTCTGTTACCCTTTTCCTTTCTTCCTATTTTTGTCTTCTACTCTTTTCCTACTGAGATAGGAGTTAGACCCCACTTACAGGTAGATGAGATAAGGGCCCTGAAAGGAGGTCGTGATGTTTTTCTTTTATTGAAGTCTCAATGGTCTGGTTAATGCGTAATGTAGACCTCTCTTACATGCCTCTAAAGAATGTATGGCTCCTTGGGACCAGCGGTTAGTGTAATAGCTATGTCGCTGCACTCCCACGTAGTCAACCACAGTTCGTGTCCTGGACCTGGTGGCTTAAAACTCACGCTGGGCGCGCGTGTGTGTGTGTGTGTGTGTGCCCAAGATCCCGAGAGGAGAACGGAGGAGAAGGGAGTGTGGCGTGGCCATCCCCCCGGGGGGGTGATTTCTCACTTTCTGTCTCTCTGTCTCTCTGGCAAGTGCACATGCCCTATAGCACAAACCTCTCAAAAAAAAAAAAGTCACCATGGCTAAGCTCTCACAGCAACTGTAGTTAAGGGCAACAGTTTCTATTTGGTAACTGTATTCTAATATATTCAAACTAGAAGAACAGAACACTATGGTCTGCTGACATATGAAGAATAGGTAATAAATCACTCAGAGTACTTTGTAACTATTTTCTAAAGCCCACTTCCTTAACAGAAAGCCAGCCAGCTTGGACTTCTAGATCAAAACCCCTCTCCTCCAGCCCTTTTCTGGCAGCCCATTCAGAGCCCCTCCCTTCTTAAGAGCTCTGTTCTTTTTCCCCTTTCCTAATAAACTCCACTTTGCTATGACCTTTGTGTCCTTGTCTATAATTCTTCATGAGCATCAGGTAAGAATCAGCTCAGGTGTTGATTCTGATCACCCAGCACTCTCATGTCACTAGTTTTTGTGTTTGTTTTTTATAATTTGCTAGAGGGTGCATGCACTCACCAGAGAGGGAGGGAAGAAGAGAAAGAGAAAAAGCACCTGCTATTGGGAGTGGTCATGACACAGTCTCTTCTCCATTTCTCATTTTAGGATTTTGAGCATCCACACAAACACATTCGACATGTTTTTTTCAAGCCTCTGGGTATGGGATTTGAAACGTCCAGTCAGCCATGTGGGATCCAGCTGCCTTAACCACCATGCCATTGGCCCCTTTTGTGGTCTTAATGGAATATTTTATACAACACCATTTTCTCTCCTGCCTTAGCACATCTATTACCTTACTTATTTAGTTTTATTGATTGTCCTAGAGTTTGCAATGTACGTTATCAACTAATACAACTATTTAAAAAAAAATTATTTATTTTATTTATTTATTATTACTTTTTTGATTTGACCAGAGACAGACAGGGAGAGAGAGACAGAGAAAGTGAGAAAGCAAGCTGCCATGTCCAGGACTCAAACTGTAGTCTGCCATGTGGGAGTCCAGTACCTTATCCACCATACCACCTGCTGGCCCAAATACAACTACTCTTTAAAATAATACTGTTTTGCTTCATGAGTAATGCAAGTGCCTTATAATAACAAAATATTCCTAACTTCTTTTCATACTTTGTATCATTACTGTTACTCATTTCACTTTCGTATAAACTACAACCATTTAATGTGTTGTTACTATTATTATTTTGAACAAATCATTGTCTGCTATATCAACTAAGAATAAGAAAACAGAAACTTTTGAGACCAGTAGGTGGTGTGGAGGTTAAGGCGGCTGGAGCCCACATGGTCGACTGAGTGGTTCGAGTCCTGGACCCAGTGGTTTGAGATTGCACCTGGTATGTGTGCGTGTGCATGCCCAAAATCCCAACAGGAGAATGGAGGAGAAGGAATTGAGGCATGGCCATCCCTCCTGAGGAGTGATTTCTCACTTTTTCTATTTCTCTCTCTCTGGCCAGTGCACATCCCCTGTCACAAAACAAAACCAAACAGAAAAAAAGTAAAGTAGAAACTTTTTATCTCAATTTATTCTTTTTAAAAATAAGTACTTATTTTATTTATTTTTTATTTTTTATTATCATTATTATTCTTTAACTTGACCAAAGAGAGAGACACAGAGAGAGAGAGAGAGGGAAAGTGAGAAAGCAAGCCACCAGGTCCAGGACTCAAACCATGGTTGGCCATGTGAGAGTCCAGCACCTTAACCACCATGCCACCTGTCAATCCCCCATTTATTCTCTATAAATACACTTCCTTTACTTACTTAGATCTAATTTTTTTTACTTATGCGTCATTCTTATTTTCTCTGAAAAACTTCTTTCAATTGCTTTTAAAAAATTTTATTTAACTTAAATAATTAATTAATTTATTTTAATGTTGACCAGAGAGAGACAGAGAGAGAGAGAGCAAGTGAAAGCAAGCCTTCAGGTCCAGGAGTTGAACTGTGGTTGGCCATGTGGGAGTCCAGTGCCTTAACCACCATGCCACCTGCTGGCCCCAAATGCCTTTTTTTTTTTTGGTAGAGTTTTTTTTTTTTTTTTCA